AGGCATAATAATGTTGCTAAACAGATACACTCGCTGTTAGCCAAAAAGTTTAAACTCATAGATCAGATAGAGCCCTACTACAAATACAAACCACAAAATGTGTTAGAAAACCACTTAGCCAAGTTATATTGGGATAGAGACGTAATTACAGATAAAACAGTTAATCATAACAGACCTGATATCACACTGACCATCAAAGACACTAAAACGACCTATCTAATAGATGTTGCAGTACCAAACACTGAAAATCTTAAACAAAAACATATTGAGAAAATTCAAAAATATATTCCATTAGCAGATGAAATAAAAGACATGTGGAATCAGAACACAGTTCGAATTATTCCAATAATAATATCATCAATAGGCGTTATACCTAAAACATTACACGCTAGCCTAGCCGAGTTGAAACTGCATAAGTTTACGTACATAAGTCTACAGAAATCTGTAATCCTTGATACATGCGGAATAGTGCGCAGATTTCTTAACAGTACTGACATATCCTCCTCTTCAGAAAACACAACAGGTTAAATAAGAAGCAGAGTTTTTAATACTCACTGATCATACTTTAGGGTAAGAAGAACCGTTAGCTCCCTAAATTTTAAGAACAGAAAATTGGTTTCTATATCCCAAAAGAGACATTAGTAGTTGAATGTTTTAATCAACAACCGGGTATCCACTTTTCACGATCTTTTGCTCCAGTTACTCGTCCTGAATCTATTCGTTTTATGATTTCTCTCGCAGCTACATTCGACATAAAGATACGTTAGAATGACGTCAGTAGTATATATATAACCGTTTCTGGCACAGAGGAGCAGATAACTGACGAAACGTCATCGATCTTAAATATGTAACTGTTAAATGTTTTTATGTGATAACGTGATGTTATTGGCCGTAGGCGATGTCACTGAGTGTAAGCATGAATACATATATTGGTTGTATTTATACTACAAAGAATGTGGATTTTCAAAAGAAATTATTTGATGGAGAGAGGGAAAGAAGTAGGGATACACTAGGGAGGAGGAAGAAGGTGGTTGAGTTGGACAGGGTTTAAATGTTATGTCGATAATTGAAGGAAATGTTGCTAAGATTAATTATTATTTATTTTGATATAAATAAAGTATATAAGTGCTACAATCAAAATATTGAATAATAAAATTACATTAATAGTGCTTGCAACTTGTAAAAATAGGAAAGAGTCGGTGATATAACCCTTTGATACAGAGCCCTCCCTGTTTTCAGCCTCATGAAGGTGAATCTATCGGCTTTCAGTGTATTTTCGACACTGTCCATCTTTTTCAATTAATGCAAGTTTTACAAAGTGCAGGTTTTCCATGTTTTCAATGGTTTAATAGTGCACTTAAAGGTCTGTTAGCCGATTTGTACAGCATTGTCATATTTCTTTCCTGCAGACATGCAGAAGCTTTTACGGATGCGGAAGTCGAGGATATAAACGATAAAATAGATAAAAAAA